AGAGAACAGCATCGAAACATGTATATCTAGGGTGAAACAGATCACCAGCCCAGGTTGGATGCATGAGACAAGTGCTCAGGCCTGGTGCACTGGGAAGACCCAGAGGGATGGGGTGGAGAGGGAGGTGGGAGGGGGGACCGGGATGGGGAATACATGTAAATCCATGGCTAATTCATGTCAATGTATGACAAAAACCACTGCAATGTTGTAAAGTAATTAGCCTCCAACTAATAAAAATAAATGAAAAAAAAAAGGCTGTGGGGGAAAAAAAATAAATAAAAAGCATGTTGCTCACTGAATTATTTTTTTCTTTAAAAAAAAAAAAAGAAAAGAAATTGCCCAGCCTCCCAGACAGGGCTAAGCCTAGAAACCCAGGCTAACCTGGCTCTCACCCAGGACTCTGGCTTGGAGTGGATCTGAAAAGATGTGGCAAGAGCAAAACAGGAAATCTTATCAAAGATTTGGGCTCTGGGTCCCACGCTCAAGTCCCTGTAGGTCATTTCCAGCCATTAGTGTACAAGTCTGTTCTCATCACTTTTTCTAGTTACAGCAACCCAGCCTCTCCCCATCATACTAGGAAGCAAGCTCTTTAGCCAAAATAGAACCATTCTTAGTCCATGAGCAAAAATATTTGTATCTTTTCTATTGGAAACAACTTCCTGAATTAATTAAATTGGAGAACTGAAATCATGAGTTTATATTCTGTTCCCAGTTTTAAAGATCAGCATGTATTTGCCACCAATGATAGCAGCTAACTTGATTATGACAGTTTCACTTTGCATATTTATTTTGGTGCAAATCTTTATTCTCCTTATCATAAAACATCTGACCAGAATAATAAACCTACAGTTTATTGCACATTTACTACTCTTTTCTAATAAAATTGTTAATGTTTAGAATGTTGGAGTTACATGTACCCTTCAGTATCCATTCCTCTGCTATTCCACAGTGGGAGGTGAGTTGCTGGTTTATGTCAGTAGCTTCATGCATTTGGGGAAGTGTTGTCCATCATCATCCATTGCTCCAATGATTAAGTATTCTTACTGTTTTGTTTTGTTTTTAAGTTCAGATTAATCTCCACCTCCTGGAATGACTGGTATCTTCCTTCAGTCAGTTATTAGGAAGACCCTTTCAAAGAGAGAAAGAATGTTTTGGGATAATTTTATTCCATAGGATGATGGCTAGGTTTGACTGTAGACAGACACTCTGGAGAGTCCAGAGGCATTAATACTCCCTTTCTTGGTGTCTTTCTTGTAGGGTATCTTGCTGTGGCTGTGGTTAAATCATCAGATGCTGATCTCAACTGGAACAATCTGAAAGGCAAGAAGTCCTGCCACACTGCAGTAGACAGAACCGCTGGCTGGAATATCCCCATGGGTTTGCTCTACAACAAGATTAATAACTGTAAATTTGGTGAGTGAGCTCTGGGGGTGTGCTGTTGTCAGGGTTGGGTGGAAAGAGGTGCACTGGCAAGAGTAGTATGGTACAAGAGGTGCTTGTTCTATGATAATACAATTTGATTTAGTGAACTTCAAGGAAATAAAAGGAATGGCAGGACTGGGAGGTGGATCAGAATGGCTCTTCTCAGTTGCACATAATGGCTTAAGTGAACATATGTTTACTGTTCTCTCTCATGAAAAAAACCAGAGACAGGAGTCCATGTTGGTATTGTCATTAGAAACCCAGGCTTCTCTGTCTTCCTGCTTCCCCATTCTCAGCGTGAGGCCTCCATATTCAAGGTTACCCATGGTTGCCGTTACATCCATGATCCAGGCAACTTTAAGGACCAAGGAGTAAGGGCACTTGAAGCACACACCACCTTGGTAAAGCAGCCAATTAGGAGGTCTAACCCAATTACTTCAGCTAAATTCTCATTGCCCCTAACTTAGGTACATAGTCACAATTATCTGTAAAATGGGCTGGGAAATGTTATCTTTTATTTAGATTTTTACTCAAAAATTAAAAATAGAACTACTGTATGATCCAACAATTTCTCTTCTGGGTATTTACTAGAAAAAAACAAAAGTACTATCTCAAAAAGAAAAATGCACCCACATGCTCACTACAGCATTATTTACAGAATAACACATAACATGGGAAGAACCTGTGTCCATCATGAATGAATGAACAAAGAAATTGTGGTTTATATGTATAGAGTAGAATGTCATTCAGCCATAAAAGAGAAAGAAATCTTGCCACTTGCAACAACGTGGATGGACCTTGAGATTACTATGTGAAATAAGTGAAATAAAACAGGCAGAGAAAGACAAATACCATTTGCTCTCATTTATATGTGGAATCTAAACAAAACAACCTGAGCCCACAGACACAGAGAGCAGATTGGTGGTTGCCAGAGGCAGGGGTTGGAGATGGGCAAATTGAGTGAAGGTAGTCAAAAGGTATGAACTTTGCTTGTAAAATAAGTCATAGGGATGTAATGTATATCCTGGTGACTATAGTTAATGCCATATTGCATATTTGAAAGTTGCTAGGAGAGTAGCTGTTAAAGTTCTCATCACCAGAAAAAAATTTTTAATGTGATATACCATAATAAAAAATTTAATAATAAAAATCATATGAGCATCTCAATAGATGCAGAGAAAGTTTTTGATAAAATTCATAATCTATGCATAAATGCAAAAAGGCAAAATGGTTTTCTGAAGAGGCCTTACAAACAACTGAGAAAAGAAGAGAAGCAAAAGGCAAATGAGAAAAGGATATACCCAACTTAACGCGGAATTCCAAAGAAAAGCAAGGAAAGATAAGAAAGCCTTCCTAAGTGAACAATGCAAAGAAACAGAGGAAAACAACAGAATGGGAAAGACTAGAGATCTCTTCAAGAAAATTAGAGACACTAAGGGAACATTTCATGAGAAGATGGGCACAATAAAGGACAGAAACGGTATGGACCTAACAGAAGCAGAAGATATTAGGAAGAGATGGCAAGAATACACAGAAGAACTATATAAAAAAGATCTTCATGACTCAAATAACCACGACGGTGTAATCTATCACCAAGAGCCAAACATCTTGGAGTGTGAAGTCAAGCGGGCCCTAGGAAGCATCACTATGAACAAAGTCAGTGGAGGTAAAGGAATTCCATCTGAGCTATTTCAAATCCTAAAAGGTGATGCTGTTAAAGTACTGCACTCAATATGCCAGCAAATATGGAAAGCTCAGCAGTGGCCACAGGACTGGAAAAGGTCAGTTTTCATTCCAATCCCAAAGAAAGGCAATGCCAAAGAATGTTTAAACGACTGCACTATTGCACTCATTTCACATGCTAACAAGGTAATGCTCAAAATTCTCCAAGTGAGGCTCCAACAGTACATGAACCAAGAACTTCCAGATGTTCATGATGGATTTAGAAAAGGCAGAGAAGCCAGAGATCAAATGGCCAACATCTGTTGTACCACAGAAAAAGCAAGAGAATTTCAGAAAAACATGTACTTCTGTTTTATTGACTATGCTAAGGCCTTTAACTGTGTGGATCATGACAAACTGTTGAAAATTCTTAAAGAGATAGGAATACCAGACCACCTGATCTGCCTCCTGGAAAACCTGTATGCAGGTCAAGAAGCAACAGTTAGAACTGGACATAAAACAATGGACTGGTTCCAAACTGGGAAAGGAGTATGTCAAGGCTGTATATAGTCACCTTGCTTATTTAACTTATATGCAGAGTACATCATGGGAAATGCTCAGCTGGATGAAGCACAAGCTGGAATCCAGATTACCGGGAAAAATATCACTAACCTCAGATAAGCAGATGACCCCACGCTAATGCCAGAAAGTGAAGAGCTAAAGAGCTTCTTGATGAAGGTGAAAGGGGAGAGTGAAAAAGCTGGTTTAAAGCTCGACATTCAAAAAATAAAGATCATGGCATCCAGTCCCATCACTTCACTGCAAATAAATAGGGAAACAATGGAAACAGTGAAAGACTATTTCGGGGGGCTGTAAAATCACTGCATGGAGAAGGCAATGGCACCCCATTCCAGTACTCTTGCCTGGAAAATCCCATGAATGGAGGAGCCTGATAGGCTGCGGTCCATGGGGTCACTAAGAGTCAGACATGACTGAGCAACTTCACTTTCACTTTTCACTTTCACACATTGGAGAAGGAAATGGCAACCCACTCCAGTGTTCTTGCCTGGAGCATCCCAGGGACAGGAGAGCCTGGTGGGCTGCCGTCTATGGGGTCGCACAGAATCAGACACGACTGAAGTGACTTAGCAGCAGTAGCAAAATCACTGCAGATGGTGACTGCAGCCACAAAATCAAAAGATGCTTGCTCCCTGGAAGAAAAGTTATAACTAACATAGACAGTGTATTAAAAAGCAGAGGCATTACTTTGCCAATAAGGGTTCATATAGTCAAAGATATGGTTTTTCCAGTAGTCATGTATGGATATGAGAACTGGACCATAAAGAAGGCTGAACACTGAAGAATTGATGCTTTTGAGCTGTGGTGTTGGAAAACACTCTTGAGAGTCCATTGGACTGCAAGAAGAATCAAAACAGTCAATCCTAAAGGAAATCAGTCCTGAATAGTCCTTAGAAGGACCAATGCTGAAGCTGAAACTGAATCTCCAGTACTTCGGGCACCTGATGTGAGGAGTCAATTCATTAAAAAAGACCCTGATGCTGGGAAAGACTGAAGGCAGAAGGAAAAGGAGACGACAGAGGATGGGATGGTTGGATGGCATCACTGACTCAATGGACACGAGTTTGAGTAAGCTCCAGGAGATGGTGAAGGACAGGGAAGCCTGGCGTGCTGTAGTCCATGGGGTTGGAAAAATTCAGACACAAATGAGTGACCAAACAGTGAACAATAGCAATCATCTATTTAAGGTAAAGACTCTCCAGAAAGTGGGCATGAAGGGAACGTACCTCAACATAATAAAGACCATATATGATAAATGTACAGCTAAAATCATACCCAACAATGAAAGGCTAAAAGCATTCCCCAAGACAAGGATGTCTACTCTTACCACTTTTACTCAACATAGTTCTGAAAGTCCTAGCTAAAAGGAAAAGAAATGTAACCCTGTATGGTGATAGATATTAATTAGATCTATTGTAGTGATCATTTCACATATAGTCACAATGGTGAATCATGTTGTACACCTAAAATTAATATAATGTGCTTGGCACGCTATGGGGTCGCAAAGAGTTGGACACGACTGAGTGACTAACACACACACATGTCAATTATATCTCAATATAAAATTAGTGGAGAAAAAAATTAAGAGAAAAAACCAACTTGATCTTTGTTACAGAGAAACAAGAAGAAATGGCCATTTGGTGGATGGCTACGAGCCCTGCCACAGAGCTTTCTAGGCAATACGGTGTTAGGGATTCTTGGGTCTCTTTAAGGTCTTGGCAGCTTCAGCTCTTAGGCCCCTTTGAAGGGGTGGAAATCAGTTGGTTCTCTGTGTCCTCTGAATATCTTCAGGTGTGGCCTTAGTTCTACCTCCTAAAACCTGTGAGTAAGTTCACCATGGATATGTTTCCTCATGGTTCTTATTAACTTTAACTTCCTAGTACTTTCCCCCTGCCACCTCCAAATATGTGTAGCAACTTTTAAAGGAGAGGCTCCAAAGACAGAACCAGGCAAGTCCTGTGTGTATTGGAGAGGAGGTTCAGATGCAGAGATGCAATCACATCTTTACACTAACATGCTCTGTGATATCAGTTTTCCAGGAAGGTGGTTGGGGCGACTTTCAGGAGTTCTGTTCCCCACCAGCAAGGGCACCATGTCTGCTCTCCTGAGCCTCCTGGCAGTTATACAGCCATGGGAGAGCAGCTGGGCTGGGAGTGAGATTTCCCCAGAATTTTCTTGAGTTTGGAGTTCTAAGTTCTGTTAGAAACTCTTCTAATGAATATCAGAGAAAAGAAACACCTGAAAACAAATGGCACAACTCAGGGGAGTGAGACTTGCAATTTTACACCTGCTTCAGTCACCTTTCACATAATTTCCACCTCATCTCTCTTTAGGTGAGTAATGACACTATTGGGAAGCTGATGGAGTCCCCTCCACCTGAATTGTAATGGTCACTCACCATTTCCAGCCTCAGTGAAGTTTTCTTTCAGAGCCTACAGCCTGGCAAGTCTTGTGCTGATGGCAGGTCACATAATAAGCATGTTCTACCTACTTATCTACCTGGGCCAGACACACCTGTGATGTGTTAGATAAAGTCCATTCATACTGACTCAGGAAGAGCTGACTTTCTCTTGTCCTTTTGCACAGATGAATTTTTCAGTGCAGGTTGTGCACCTGGATCTCAGCGAAATTCCAGTCTCTGTGCTCTGTGCATTGGCTCAGAGAAGGGTTCAGGAAAGGAGTGTGTTCCCAACAGCAATGAAAGATACTATGGCTATACAGGGGCTTTCAGGTGAGTCTTATAATCCTCATACAAAAATAATAATAATCCCAACCCTGACAAGAGTTCCTTTTAGGAGCTCAGGTGAGATTCTTACATTCCTAGCCCATCAGTCCTGCATGTTAGGGTGACATGTTTACAAACGTAGGTAGAAACCTGTGTGAAGAGGCATCCAGGTCCCTCCAGGACACCATCTCCGGAACTGGCTGTCATAGACAGCAAAGACTGGCGGTATTGTGCAGGCCAGGAGTTCTCAGTGGTAGGGGGAGGCGGGGGGAGCAGGGGAGGGATTTGCCCCTCAGGGGACATTTGGCGATGTCTGGAGATGTTTTTGATTATCAGTAGGGTTGAGAGGGTGCAACTGGCATCTAATTGGGAGAGGCTGATAAACATCCTACATGCGCAGGGCAGCACCCTACAACAAAGAATTATCTGGCCCCTCATGTCACTAGTGCCAGGTGAACAAACCCTACCATAATTGAATAAACACAGGAGTCAAGCATCTAGCTCACACTCTTCCAGTCACCTCTGGGGGGACCTATGACCAAGGAAATATACAAAAGTAAAGTCCATCATTTCTACATCTTTGGTTACATCTCTGTTTCATGGAGTTTTAGTTATTTTTAAAGAGACACCTGTGCACTTTACGACCTTATTTGTTTTTAACTATCCTGTCTGACTTGGGCCTTTGCTACCCTGGTAGTTCATGAATCCATCAACTTCACAATGATGGTGGTATTCATAACTAAACTGCTCACTGCCGCTGCTGCTAAGTCGCTTCAGTCGTGTCCGACTCTGTTGCGACCCCATAGACAGCAGCCCACCAGGCTCCGCCGTCACTGGGATTCTCCAGCCAAGAACACTGGAGTGGGTTGCCATTTCCTTCTCCAATGCATGAAAGTGAAAAGTGAAAGTGAAGTCGCTCAGTCGTGTCCGACTCTTTGCAACCCCATGGACTGCAGCCTACCAGGCTCCTCCATCCATGGGATTTTCCAGGCAAGAGTACTGGAGTGGGGTGCCATTGCCTTCTCTGAAACTGCTCACTAGCAAAGGAAAAACAAAGATTATCTCAATCGTCTAATTAGAACCACCTTGTGAGTTAAAATTAGAAGAATTCACAGTCCACAAGTTTCCAATTTCACAAGTAGACTGTGCATAAGTAATCACCTTGGTGGAAAACCGCTCCTCTAACATCTGTATTGATGCTTGGAAAAGGATGTAGACCTGTTGGATAAAATGTGCCAGAGTTTAGAATTTAATATATAGAACTGCAATTGTATAACTACAAAGCATATCAGAGGTTTTGTTTTCTTTTTATTACTTACATTAGTAATATATAATATTAGTGAACAAATGAGAGTCACAGTTGCTGATATCAGATGGCCAGCCCTGGATCTCTAAGCTGGCATAATACTCAGGCATAAAAAGGAATGAATTGGGTCATCTGTAGTGATGTGGATGAACATAGAGTCTGTTATACAGAGTGAAGTAAGTCAGAATGAGAAAAACATATTGTTTTTTTAACAATATTGTAAAAATTGTTTATTGTATATTAATGCATATATATGGAATCCAGAAAAATGGTACTGATGAACCTGTTTGCAGGAGAAGAATAGAGATGCAGACATAGAGAACAGACTTGTGGACACAGGGGGGGTAAGGAGAGGGTGAGACGAACTGGGATAATATTATTGACATATATATATACTACCATATATAAACATAGATAACTAGTGGGAAGTTGCTGTACCACACAGGAGCTAAGCTTGGTGCATGGTGATGACCTAGAGGAGTGAGATGGGGGGTGGGAAAGAGGCTCAAGAGGGAGGAGATATACATATACGTATAGCTGACTCACATCGTTGTACAGCAGAAACTAGAGCAATGTTATAAAGCAATTATCATCTAATTAAAAATTAAAAAAAAAAACAATTTCAGATTATAAGATGGCCCTTCTGAATGACAGATGTAACTCTGACCTCGTTTCTTCTCTCTCCCTGTCTGGGACCTCACAGGTGTCTGGTGGAGAAGGGAGATGTGGCCTTTGTGAAGCACCAGACTGTCTTACAGAACACTGATGGTATGTGCCCAACTCTTTGTCCCAATAAATCAGGGTTGCTGGTTCCCTTGTATTCAGGATGTCTTTGTGGAAATGTCAGGGGCTCTTGTCAGGGTCCAGAGCTGTGATTCTCAACCTGTTTGTTCTCTGATGAGAGACGCATCCACTTGGGTAGACAGAATGGTGAGGACCGTGAGCTTCCCAGGGGCTCTGAAATCTCTCCTAGAAGCCTTTCCACAGGTGTAGGCACTGTGCCTTCTTTCCCCTAAATACTCCTAAGAACAAGGACTTTTTCATGCTTTTCCTAAGAACACGGACTTTTACATACTTACATTATAATTAGAAAGATCAGGAAATTTATACTAACGTGCATTAATACTCATCCCATCCACAGTCCCGATTCAAAATTAGTGAACTTATCTCCCACAGGCCTTTTATAACTATTTCTCATATTTCTAGGTCCAATATATATTTAACCATATTATAAATCCACTGGGAAAAACATACAGACAGTGGTACCCCTGTAGGAATGAGCACCAGGACTTTGGCTTCTATTACCATTCTCCAAGAGGAAGAAGCAGGGCCCCTTGAAAAAACAGCTGATTCTGGGCCTGGGGCAGGAAAAGTGTAAGGTGAACCGAAGAGCATTATAGTGAAGTGCTCAGAGAGATGGAACGTGTCAGAACACAATGGAACTATTGTGAAAGCCCTCCACTGGCCAGATCTGACATTTGGAGCATTACAAGAAATAACAACAGTAGTAAGATTGAATAACCCATTGAATAAAATAAGAACACAGGAGTCCATCCTGATTAAACAAATGAGTATAAGGGAAACATCTTCTTTATTGTAGAATGCTAATTACAGATGTAGAAAAACTTATGAAGTTAAACAACTATCATTTGGCAACCAATATAGCAATAATCGATCCAAGCAAGGCCCATCAATCAGTGGGTACTAAAACTAGTGGGTGGATATTAGATGGCCATGACATTAAAAACAAGATAGCTGTTTTTAATTGTGGTAAGAATGCACATTCCAGCTGCCCATGCTCTATCACTAACAGCTTACACCACCCCCTAGTGTCCAGGCAGTATTACTTCCCTCCCTCCCTCATAACCCTTTGTGTGTGTGCGTGTAGTCGCTCAGTTGTGTCCAGTTTTTTGCGACACTTTGGACTGTAGCCTGTCAGGCTCCTCTGTCCATGGGATTCTCTGGGAAAGAATACTGGAGTGGGTTGCCATGCCCTCCTCCAGGGAATCTTCTTGACCCAGGAATTGAACCTGTGTCTCTTATAACTCCTGCATTGGCAGGTTGATTTTTTTTACCACTAACCCACCTCGGGAGTCCTCCTCCGTTTACCCAACCTCAAATTTTTCCTCTAGTGCAGGACCAGCTCCTCTAAGAAGCCTTCCCCAATGGCACCCCTCCATCCTACAACAGAATCCTCTGTCCACATTGCTATTATTATTGAATCCATCACATTCTGTAATAAAATATGGTCACAGGGAGGCTCTTCTTTTTTCTTACATCTCAACACCAATCACAGTATAAGGTACACAGAAGTGACTAAGTACTTACTTGAAGGAATATTGGTTTGGCTAATTTTTCTTTCACCCCTCCTGTAAGTTTTGCTTTTCCCTTTAAGGGCTGTCCTTTTCCTGCTACTGAGTGTTACCCTAGGCTGGTTCTTTGTCACTCCTTGATTTCTCTTTGTATCCTTCCAATAGGGCTCCCCTCTCTAGACCTCAGTTCTCTTTGCAAAGACTCCCAAAGCCTTAACCTTCTGATGGGAATTTATAAAGGAGGCCTACCTCCCTATACATTTCCTACCTAAACACCATACTAGGATCCCTGTTTGCCCTGTGGTCATGTTTATGTACAAAGTACACTGATAACTGCAACCTGGACCAGAATAAATCCAAACTCCTTACACTTCTCTCTCACACAGCCTCTGTCCCTATGGAGGACTTTGTTATAGGTCCTGTCAGTCAAGCCTAGATTAATCAATGTTGAAAGTGAATGCTGTGGAATTATGCTGGGTTTCACAGTCTTATTCCTTAAAACTATGTAGTGTTTTATAAATAAGCTACAGTAAACAAGCATCTTTTACTGGAAAGAAAATTTTTTATCATGCCCTTTCTAGATGCCCACTGCCCCTAACCCAGACCAAATCACCTCCCTTCTCATTTTTCCTATTTGCCCTATTTGGAGCTCACACATTAACATTGATTTCCATTAAGTGCTCATAGACCAACCTTTCTTATTACCTAAGTGCCACACTAGGGCTTCCCTGCAGTTGCTCAGCAGCGAAGAATTCACCTGCAATGCAGCACACCTGAGTTTGATCCCTGGGTCACGAAGATCCCCTGGAGAAGGAAATGGCAACCCACACCAGTATTCTTACCTGGGAAATCCCACAGAGAGAGGAGCCTGGGGGGCTACAGTCCATGGGGTCACAAAGAATTGTCATGACTTAGCAACTAGACAGCAATAACAACAAAGTGCTGTGCTCCATCCCACATTCATCTTGAGGGCGTTTTTAGCCTGACTGCCCAAGGCTCTGTTCCAGTGGGGCTGTTCTCCACCCATTAGAAACACCAGGCATGTAGCCATCCCTGAGTCTTGCCAGAGCATTCCATTCCCCCTCAAAGAAGCGGGCCTTTCTCCTCTCAGTCCTACACATGGTACAGGGCACTGCTGAATCCTTGGCCTCTCCATCTAGGCTTCCTGAGTCAGCATACTCTCACTGTGCTGGTTCCCTTGCTCACACAGCATTTAGAGAGTGTTACACAAAATATAAAATGATATTATTTTTGCTTTGCACTTTTGCTTTTGGTATTTCCCACTTTTAATAAGATTGTGTCTTACAGAGGGCTGGGAACATAGTATTGAATAAATGCTTAAATTACTAAGTAAAACAGAATGGGTTTGGAGAGAAGGAGGATGGACTTCATTTGGAAGGTACTGAATTGGAGGGACCAGTAAGAAAAGAAAGGCAAAAAGTTAAAAGGTGAACAAGATATGTGCAGATACTGGTGGGAGGAGAGGCAGGCAATTTGGAGTTTCCTATTAAAACCTAAAGTGTACATTTGGAGACTGTAGGACAAGGGGTATTTTTAATTTGTATGTAAGTTTAAACTTTTAAAATAGTGAATTCATATAGTGGTTGTTTGATTAAATGAGAAAATTAGATTAAGAACAAGAGTGCAATCTTGTATTTTAGGAGAGAAGCAAAAACCAAGAAAGCTTATTTGAGAATTGCCTCAGGAGGAGGGAGCTTAAACCATGGGAATGGGTGAGATGTTCCTTTTTCAGAGAGAATACAGAAAAGATGAAGCAAGGGGCGGAGAACAGGATATGGGCCTTCATGCACAGAGGCGTTTGTGCATTTTACATAGAACTAGTGTGAAAGAGCCAGATTTCAAGCACTGGGCTACCTTCCAAAAGAGCCTCTGGGGAAGATTCTTTTGCTTGCTAGTGCCAATCGGTATGGGGCTTCCAGGTGGCTCAGCCGTAAAGTATCCGCCTGCCTTTGCAGAAGACCCAAGAGTTGCAAGTTTGATCCCTGGGTCAGGAAGATTCCCCTGGAGGAGGAAATGGCAACCCGCACCAGTATTCTTGCCTGGAGAATCATGGACAGAGGAGCCTGGTGGTCTACGGTCCATGGGGGTCCATGGGGTTGTCCAGTTGGACACGATTGCGCGACTATACACACACACACAGCCAGATGGTATAGCACAGAGATTGTCAATCTGCTTAGAGGGTCATGTGCTTCCTCCAGTGGAGTCTAAATGGAATTTGGAGCTTAGCAGAAATGAAGATCCTTTTGAACATCATCCACAGAATGTGGTTCACTCTCCCTTGTCTGGCTGGGAAGACCGAAAGGAGTGGCCCCAGGAAATTCCTGATAATTCTCTTCCTCTCCATATCAGTGAAACCCCTGCTGGCCACTGGGTCCAGACCCCCCACATACCAGTGGAGGGTGGTCACATCTCCCAGTGAGGGTGTTTTGATCAAAGCTTTGGCTGATGCACCTTTTCTGAACCTAGGAAAGAATGATGAACCATGGGCAAAAAATCTGCAGAAGGAAAATTTTGAACTACTGTGCAAGGATGGCAGCAGGAAATCTGTGGAGGAGGCTGAGAGCTGCCATCTGGCCCGAGCCCCGAATCATGCTGTGGTCTCACGGAAAGATAAGGCAACTTGTGTGGAGGAAATATTAACCAAACAGCAGGTACGGACCAGCCAGGGACTCCAAACTGTTTTTCTTGTGTGGATATGGATTATTGGGGGATTTCGCAGGCGAGGAGAAGCCCACACACACTCCTGCATTCTTTCCCTGGAAGTTAGAACTGGGAAGGTATGGATGGTGGACTGAATCTCCTAGACCTGGCTCTATGCATATCTTCTGTTTGCTGGAAATCAGACCTCAACTGACACACATGTTCCAGGGTCCAAGCATCTGCCTTCTAGCTCGACCCTGACCTTGCTCTGTGGTACCCTCATTTTACCCACTTCTGCCTGTTTTAAAAATGCAGGCAACTAATCTTGTTTCCCAACCTTTCTGGATACAAGTCATGAAATGTGGACTGTGTTTCTTTTGCTTAGACAGATTGAGAACTATTCCAAAAGGCAGAAAAACCCAGGAACCCTACCCTCAGGGAGCTTGTCCTCTGGTGAAAACAACCAACCCAGGGCTGGCCCTGTGGGGAGAGGGGCTGTATGAATATTTTCATCCTAAAGACCCTTCCACCCCTAAAGACCAGCCTCCCCTCAGTGACAGCTTCCTGCCTGTTGATCCATCATTAGTTTTCTCCTTTTAAAAATGAAGATAGCACACCTTTATGAGTCCTCTTAGGGTAAATGACACTAATAATTAACATTTAAGGAACGTTTCCTAAGTGCTAGATGGAATGCTAAGCTTTCTGTAATCATTATTTCATTTATAATCTTAGAAGATGTGGACGAGTCCAGCCTCTTATCAATTTAGGATCAAAGATGCAGCTAACGGCTCCCTGAACCACCCCTCATTGGTTGGCTCTTATTTAATACCTTCTTGATAATAATACTTAAAAGGGACATGTTTCTGCCCTCTCATTTCCTGGAAGCCATCCCCAAGGCCATGGCCAATGAAGTGGGGAAGAGAGATCAGAGAAGTCAGCCGTGGTGGGTGGGTGGGAGGGAGGGACTTCCCCAAGGAGATGGGACTAGGCTGGACCCTACAAAGGACTTTGGGGCCTCGTGGAAGCCTAGATTTGGGGCCCATATTTGTGTGAATGCCAAGGGATGGATGTGGAAAGATCCTGAGGCATCCTCTGCAGCTTCCCTTTCTTCCCAGGGCTGGTTCCCAGCTTCCAGTTTCCTCCATCCCTTCCACGTGTTCCAGTGACTCTTTTCCACAGGTCCTCATGTACTTTCTGTCCATTTGACAGGAGGAATTTGGAAAATCTGTAACCGACTGCACGAACAATTTTTGTTTATTCCATTCAAGTTCCAAGGACCTTCTGTTCAGGGATGACACTAAATGTTTGGCTTCAATTGCGAAAAAAACATATGACTCCTACTTAGGGGATGACTACGTCAGAGCTATGACTAACCTGAGACAATGCTCAACCTCAAGTGAGTAGGAGGAACAGCATGGGGAACCTGCAAAGTAAATATGGTTGGGGTTCTGGGTGCTGGATTCAAAAGCAGGGGCAGACTGTAGTCCCCAGGAGATGATCAGTTGACTAGATGAAATGATGAGGGAACAATGCAACCTAGCATGAATGAAAGGCTACTTGTATGGGCAGATGGTAAGGGGACATGGGCTGATGGCACTGGATATGCAGAATTCCATGCTATTACTTAGAAAAGGAAGAGAGTTATGTGCCCATGCCCACTGCTCTGCTCTGAACACCTTTGTGCTGCCTTGTTCAAAATGGTAGCCTCTGGCTACATGTGGATATTTAAATTTATATTCACATTAAACAAAATTTTAAATCAGTCACACCAGCCATGATTCAAGTGCTCAGGAGATACCTATGTCTCCACATACATGAACAAAGAGAACATTTCCAGCATTGCAGAGAGTTCTTTTACATGGTGCTGCTCTTGAGAGCTTGAACGGTGATAAGTACCAGTAACTCTAAAGTTGCTATACACACCACAGGCACAGCTCGGGGATATTGCAGGTTCAGTGTCAGACCATTGCAATAAAAGAATATTGCAACAAAGCAAGTCATATGAAGTTTTTGGTTTCCCAGTGCATATAAAAGTTACATTTATACTACACTATAAAGTGTGCAATAGCATTGTCTAAAAAATGTCTAACAATGTACATATCTTAATTGAAGATACTTTATTGCTAAAAAACACTAACTATCATTTGAGCCTCCATAATCTCTTTGCTGGTGGAGGGTCATAATCTCTTTGCTGGTGGAGGGTCTTACCTCAATATTGATGACTGCTGACAGATCAACGGTGGCAGTTCCTTAAAATAAGACAACAATTAAGTTTGCTGCATCAATTGACTCTTTTTATTTTTAATCCTTGTTGACTGGGTTTTACCTTTATTTTCACAAATGACAAAAACTTTCTCTTGATTCCTTAAAGAATCAGAGATACATTAAAAATTGTGCAGTTTAATTTAGGTATTATAAATACCACTGGGAAAAAAATTAAAGGATACTATTATTGAAATATGTTTATTATTTATTTATTTTTTATCCTAAACACCACAACATATTAACTTATTTATTTTGCTAGCTGCATATCAATTTTTAAATTAGAACTGTAGCCTTCTCTTCATACTAAATCAAACAAATAGAATCAAAATGTCATAAATTTTTTAGATAGGAAAAAAGTTCATAATCACAATAGTAAAAGATGTGTACTAGTTTTCACAATGAATAGCCAGACCCCCCCAAAATAAAAAGATAATTACAATTGCAAGCCATAATGGGAACATGATCAGCCTAACAATATATAATAATTACACACAATTTGATGGGTCAAGCAGAGCCATGTGGTAAATGGAAGTGCATACATGTACAAGTTTTCATCTGCCTAGCCAGTCTATGTCTTTGGGTTGGTTTAATCCATTTATAATTAAGGTAATTTTCGTATGATTCTATTAACATTTTCCTAATAGTTTGGGGTTATTTTGTGTAGGTCTTTTCCTTTGCTTATGTTTCCTGCCTAGAGAAGTTCCTCTGGCATTCATTGTAAAGCTGGTTTGGTGGTGGTGCTGAATTCTTTTAACTTTTGCTTGTTTGGAAAGCTTTTGATCTCTCCATCAGATCAGAAGGAGAGTCTTACTGGGTAGAGTATCTTGGTGGTAGGTTCTTCCCTTTCATCACTTTAAATATATCATGCCATTCCCTTCTGGTTG